ACATAAATACTTGTCCCGTGTGGGAGTCGAACCCACAACCCCCGACGCTGAAGCCAAAAGCTCAGCAACGGCGCCACCGAGTCTGCGGCTTTAGTATAAATTATTTAAATTTTTTCATCAATGTTATGATTTTGTTATTATATTTGGAGATACTTTATAGTTATGTTATATATATGTATTTCAAAATATCTACTTTGAAACAGAACACTTTTCAAAAATATGTAGAGATATTTGGAAAGTAAAGTATCAACTATTTTACTATACAATAGCTATTTTTTTATATTATAAGGGCATTAAAATATGTAGAAAAAAGTATGAAAAGTTTTTTTCCGCCGCTGTGGGAATCGAACCCACGTCTTTGGAATTCGGGCACTGGCGGCACGCTTTAGCCACTAAGCTAAATAAATGGCTGATTGGCATACCAACGAAAATATCAACGTCTTTTATCTACATTGGTTTTAATTTTTTATTTTTGAAGCAATGCTTGGCGCATCCATTGTATAGTATCCTTTTCAGCATACAAACAATTTCGAATATCGTTTTACAACGATAATTCGAACGAGAGATGTCGCCATTGCTTTTTGGAAATTTAAATTTTATAGTGCTAATATTTGAACTTAAGACTAAACATTAAAATGTGTAGAAAATAGTACGAAAAGTTTTTCGCTGCTGTGGAAATCGAACCCACATCATCGGGATTCGCGCCACAATAAGTGGAGTTAGCTTATATAGATTAAACTTTAAAATCCACTGCAAAACTTTGGAAAACTTGCTTTTGCTAAAATTTATGGTTGTTGGTAGGATACTTCGCATATGAAGATTTACATTGAGACTTACACATTTTAATGACAATAATAGTTTAAATTATATTTAAACTCAAAGTTAAAGGTAATTAGCCCGTTATATTAATTAAACTCTTTAGATAAATCTTTATGTAAAGATTTTAATTTACCTGAAGTAATCATAATTATATCGAATAATGACTGACTAACTTAAATTCGTATTACATTATATAAATATTCTTTTCGGTCTTCGTTCATGGCAATGTGTGCATAATTTTTTTTTTCACATAAAAAAAAATTATATTGTACAACCTACATTCATGCAATACATATTGTACAACCTCCGTAAGTACATATTTAAGCCTGTGTAAGCGAGAACTTCCATCAGAATCTAAGTAACAAAAGAAATGTTCAAGAGTTTAATATTCAATAATGTAATTCATTTTTACGGGAGAAAATAAAAAAAAGTGCGAAAAACGCACTTGGCCTCGTTTCCATTACCTATAAAAACAACAAAAAATTATATCTGTTGTATCGGAGTCCTACTTAAATGTTTTTTTTATTCAGATTTTTTAGTATTTGTGGTTACAGCAGCAACAGAAATACAGCATCTGTGGAAATTTCAACTATCTAGCCTGGTGACAGACGGACAGACAGATAAACAAACAGACAGCGGAGTTTTAGGGCTTATTTCGCCATCTACAAGTAAAGTGTCAAGTAGGCTATTCACCAGTTAAAGTCACCAATACCTGCTCGGAGGAATTTCACTATGTACAAGTAGCACTAACCAAGGGTTAAACTAGTCCGTAACTTACTTGCTACTTCATGTGCCAATTAGCATGTTTAACTGACGGTTAAAACACAAAACTACATCACTGCTATCGTCAGTTGGCCATTTTGTCTGTAGTAAGTATGAGAAAAATGGAAGTGTGTGATTTGATTGATCATCAATTAGATTAATTTGAACGTTCTTTGATGCAAATATTAGAGAACATAAAATAATTAATGGTAAAAAGACTTTTTACAAAACAAGCTTTTATTTAATTGCCCTGAAAAGAAGAAAATCAGCTTTAAATTAATTAATATTTATTATTATTATTAATTCGTCAAAAATTCTTCCGTTTAAATCAAAATTAGCACTTCTTTCTTTTTAAACTTTATTCATGATATTCTTTATTTAAATAAAATAAATCACACGGAAGACCAAAACTAACACGCAAATTAAATACCACAGAATAACAACTACCAACTGTTTGACTAGGGATGTTTGACCTAATATTGAACGAATTTATCAATGATTTTGTAAGTCAGTCCCTTAACCTGTAAGTTGTTACTTGGAGCTTGCTTCATTTGTAAAATTGACAAAAGATACTTGTGCCTTTTACTTGAACATTATTGTTACTTAAGAAGTATCTAATCCGTTGTATACTTATAAATGGTGAAATAAGCCCTTAGTAAAAAAACAAGCTTGCATTTCATGTGATGTTTCATATTTCAATTTTAACATTCGCATCAAGCACTGCTCCAATTGCTGTCAGTGACCTCGCTTGTCACAAGAAATTCAGAACGATGAATACTTAACCACGGCCTCACTGAAGGCATAATTTGAAGTAATTCAAATTGTGCCTTCATTTTTCATACACACAAACGCCGTGCGCAGCTGCGTCATTTACCACGTAGAAAAAAGAAAAATATTTCGGAGCAAATAAAGATTAGGATTGCTTAGTGAAGCTTAGTATTCATTTATTATTTAAGCGAATTCAAATCGAAGTCATATAATGTGAACTGTAATGAATGAAAACTTGTCTCGAATCGGTTCTGTTTTCTTCTGTAACTAAACTAAAACTTTTTTTCTGTAGGCATTATTTTATGAATAAAACAAAGACTAAGAATAGTATCAGTTGGGCTATTGAATCTTTATTTAGCGATTCTGCGATCAGCGTACTTATGACGTTAATATCTATGATGTTCATGACGCGGTAAAATCAGGTGAACCGCCTGCTTACTCGGCAACTTTTCACATAAAAAAATTGAGTCGGAAAAGTCGGGCCCGTTGAGAGATTCCACACTCAACAGAAAAAATTGTACGAAAATAATGTGAGGTTGAATTGTTCCACTTAAAGAGTTTAACGTCATAATTTTATCTTATACGGGCGCTTCTATTTTCCAAATTTTAATTATGTATTATAAAAAAATGTCACTAACACGTCTACCCACATGATTGAATTGTAACTCTACGAAGTCGGGGTGGGCCAATTAGCAAATAACAATGTTTTACTTTTAGAAACGGTACTGCTGTTAAAATATTGTCTCGGGTACAATGCCAAAGTTATATTTGACTTCAGATTTTATTGAATAAACGTTTATAAGACTTTTTATAAGACCCCATCCTTTGTAGTCGAAACTAAAAATTAACGGCCGGTTTCAATATTTTATCTACAGATAGATTTGGATAGCGATAGGTATTCGACATTAACTACATAATAATACTCAAGTCAAAATTCTATCTCTAGCGACCAAATCTATCTGTAGATAGAATATTGAAACCGGCCATTAATGCTTTAAGCGTCGGAGTTAATTTCTGTCACTTTAAGATCGTGAAATTTTTACATCGATAATTTCGAAATGACAGAACTCCTTGGTCCTTCGTTGAAGGTCGTACCGACAAAAGTGTTTAGTGGCCTCTTCGCGAAAATGCCAATTACGCCGCCGGCTGCGTGTCACTCGCGAGGTCGTTGGTTCACATTAATTTGACGGTGACATTATTCATGAGCGAAATCTTTTAAAGAAAATTAAACAGGAGCCGCAATGTCTTGAAGCAGCTCTTGTCCGTGCATCGGGAATGACTGGCGCCAAATTTAATTCAAAAAGAAATGTTAAGTTCACGTCAACATCTCTGCCTGCCTATTAGTCTGATTTCGTTATTATTTACAACTTGAAATTCAAGAAAAAGACACGTAGTAATAATGTTGGGCACCAAGAGTAAATTATGGTAAGCGTCAAAGAGAATCTATACTAGATGGTATTGTCATATTTTCCCTTTTTTTATAGTTCTTTCTTTTTTGAAAAACACCAGTTCATATTTTTCTTATTACGTCGAAAAATATTATGCATTTTTCATATTTTTATCTAAATGTTATTTCCAAAATACACGATGTACCAAAAAAAAAACCAACCGGGCAAAGCTTGGTCCTCCAGGTACTTGATTGTTTAATGCTTGATCTCAAAACTAACTATCTATGAGGGGTCTTGATATTATGTATACTATTTACCTTCAATTTTTACATTGTGATTACAAGATATTAATTTTCCCTCCAATCAAGAGAAATTTAGAAGTTTCGTTTCAAAATTTTATTTGTAGGTTATTATAACAACGATTATTATATAAACGATCAAAAATTACAAACGGTACATATAACAGGTTATATGTATTATTGGATTCCATCTTCTATGACGTTCGGTTTTCGTCGACGAATGATTATTATCGATTAAATTGACCAGTTTTCTTTTTTCTGTACGTATCTATAGGATCTAATTAAATCTAATCAAAAAAAGTCTAATCTTGATAATACAGTATGATTATTATGATTTACATAAGTATATTAAATTAGTTACTTATCGAATCTATAAATTCACACTACGAAAAATCTAAAAGCACAAATCTTAAAAATGTCCCGAACTATTTGAAAAGGGAATTGAATTTGAAACATATTCCAACGTGAAATAACAAAGAATTTCACGAAATATTTCCCTCCGAGCAATAACATCTTATTCAAACTGTAGATTCAGCGACCGAATCCGCTACAAGGAAGTGCAGATGTTGCCAGTTGTTTTCAAATAAGCCCCTGGACTTTCGTAACAGAAAAAGTTACTTTAGGAAGTATTATATTCACACCTTATCCTTCTAAAAATATTGCCGTTTTCTTTTAAAAAATAACTTCTTCATTTTTCAGTTACATAGCAGTAAATAATATAAAGCTGCTTAATAAAAATTAAACGGTGCAAATAAAATATCAATATTGGTTCATGTATTTCTTTTTTATTGTTTAACCAAAAATTGTGAGTAAACGATATTGTTCGGTATAAAACCTTCAACACACAGCTACGATGTAAAAGGAAATAAATTTGATAGTCAAAAGTCAAGATCTGACATATATATTTTAATTTCTTTTATTTCCTGTAGTTGTATCTAGCAAGAATTTGTGGCGATATTAAAAGATGAAGAAATTAGACACAACTAAAAGTCTGCCTGATATCGCTTCAAATCCTTCCGATTGTCCTTTCAGAGAATTTAGAGATAATGAGCTGTCGGCGGAGTACTGGGGATTGGTTTGTACAATTTTAAAACTTGAACTAATATTCATGACCATAATCAAAATGAAATGTTTTAAAATATTTATGAGGTTTGAATTACACCTTTTGTCAATAGAACATTACTACTTTTGTTGTCTGCTCACGATCTTAAACCTCTATTATTTTTTTCCGTTTACACTTTCAACGTCATATTTATACATTGTTTAATGGTCCTTGGCTTATAGCAGCGTTAAGAAACGGTAAAGCCTAGAATAGCTCTTTGTTTTTAGCTTAAAAATATTTTTAAACAGAGATGGTTACTGAACAAAAATCATCCAAAAATCGTGCGGCGTCGGTAGTTCTCGGGATTAAATCGCATTTTCAACCTCATTCCTTCCTCCAGTCAAAGCCGCCGGGCTAACAGCAAACGGTATTAGTTTCCTTTAGTTTCCGGGTGTTTTCGACCAAACAAAAATTTTATTCGTAGAAAAATCACCAATGAAATAATCAACAAGCAGAATTTGGCAGTCGCTTATAGTTTTCGAGGAAAAAAAAAATATTTTAAACTTGTTATTTTCACTAAATAATCCGCCATTTTATGTTTGACAACATGTATAACGAGATAATGACAAAAAAAATGTCGAAGATAGGTGAAGTTCGCCAATCCGCAGTGGGGCCGCCTGGTGGACTATGCCCTGATAGAGGGTATCAGGATTTTATTTGACTTGAATTTTTCTCATTTAATCAAAAACATTTTTTTGAGTTCATATCGCCTCTATAGTAACTGGTAACTCTAAATCAAGGATAGGAAAGCTGTACAAAAGTTTACTTTTAGGGCCCTATAGCTTTTAAATCTGCGGTGCGGCTAGGAAAAGGTGGGCACAAGTCGCAAATGGACAACGTCTGGGTGGACGATCAGATTCAGCCGTTACCAAGGTCAGCGAAGAAACGTTTCCACAGTTGGGTCAGAGCGGAAGACCTGGCGATGAGTCTATGGCAGACCGACGTAACTATTTTTGAGGTAGGTACCTCTTTTAACCGCCTCTCCGCGTGAGGTAGGTATTCTACAACAAGCGCTCTTTGTGGGTACTTTAATGATAAGAACTTGTTCTTTCCTGAAATGCCAACAATGCTTTACCCTTTTCTATTAGGAAATTTCGTGATATTGATGCTGTATGAATATGGAAAATGATGTTGAATTATAATAATGTATTGCTTAAGGATTTTAGCGTTAGCTTTCTGCAAAAGCTTACATTAAATTAAAAACATTGTGCATAATTCACTCCTGGCGCGTTTCCGACTCCCTATTGATTGGGTTTGATTCGGTGTACTTGAGCATTCAAAGTCCTGAAATGTGAACAGTACGTCCTCACTGGTGATGAAAAATATTGGAAGGAAGTTCACGTACGTAATAAATATAGAAAAAAAATATCTGGAAGATATGCGAATTTTGCAAGATGCACTAGACTTGCTGGGCAGGCTGTACCCTAAGTAAAGGTACAGCTTATAATGTTCCACTGCTGGGCAAAGGCCTCTGTACTATTCACCACGCGACCCAGACAACTGACCAGACTTCGCATATCTCTGAATTTATTTCTTTATTATTTTGAAAATATGCAGGTTACCTCTAGATATTTTCCTTCACCGCTGAGCACGTCATAAGTCTAGTCTTCAAAACAGAAAAGGGCTATGTAGGAAGTGACATTATGCATAAGCTGTTTTTTTACGATACTTTGAACTATGTGAGTCGTCTATATGTATATTTTATGACCGAATCTAAATTGATAGTATAAATAAGTATATGATTTATGCGTTAATCGCACCATAAAAGGTAGTTTAAAAATCTGACGATAGCCCCATTTAAATATGTATGGACTTAAAATGGACAAAATCAATTAATATTATTAGTAAAACATATTGATATTAATTATATGAGTGATTTCAAATCTATTTCGTAGGATAACAACAGCGGTACAATGTCGTCTGCTGAAATACAATTTTCTCACTATCGGGTTCTGCAAATGTCTTCTTTCTGCAGACGAGTGCTATCTTTATGCTACATACTTGAACGAGCAGAAGAATTCACGGTAGGTATTTAGATATAATTACTTAAATATTTTATTTTATCTGGCACTTTAACTGAGAACGTGCATAGCGGTGAAGGAAAGCATCGATCGATGCCATTTTCATTGAGCTGTCAGACTAGGTTTTAATGTTACATTGATCGAACTTCAGGCAAAAATAATTTTCAAGTTTGGGGGATGGGGACGAACCCACCAGTTTCATAGAAGAAAAGAGTTTCTTCTTTTTCAAATGAGAAAAAACATTCTTATCAACTACGTCAAAAATAAATAGTGGTATCTTAAACATAGTAGATAAAGAAACCAAGAGGTTATTAAGGTCATTTTCAGGTTCAGCACCAATGGGAAAATTTCATGTTCAATATGCCACCAGAGGGATGGCGAGCACGATATCACATTTACTCGCCAGGCCTGAAATACGGGGGTGGTCAACAACATCGTCCCATGCTGTCGAAAAATGGTAATTGTTTCAGGCTATTATTTTAATGACAGTTTATTCAACATACATTTGAGACTTTCGCATGCAGTAGCTTACATGCAATTTTTGCTCGCCAAACAACTAAATTTAAATGTTGTTTCAAACACCAAGCTTCCATAATCTAGAAAAACTTTCTGCTGCTCAAAACCTATGCGAATGCGAAACAAAACCAAAAAGAGTCGTTATTAAAATAATAGAAAACTTTATTGAAGCTAATGGAAAATTTTAAAAAAACGTCTCAATAATCCTACTACCCTAGTCGACACGCGTCTCGCATGCACACATGAACCACTAGGTTTACACCCCCCCACCTACAACACCAACACCCACGCAAATACACGGCAGTGGCACACTTACAAACATTCTATAAGTATATGTGTGTAATGTTACACTCATTTAAAACACACGAATATAATTTTATCAGATTAAATTGTTTATAGTTGCTACCGATTCAAAATAAAAGGGATAGGTGAAATAACCTTTGTGCCTTTTGCAAGTGTTTTGACCACAAAACTCCAACTCCGCTTAAAAAATTAAAAATTAATCCGCTTCCTAATTTTCTTTCTTTTTTCTTCAGGCTGCTATCTTGTACGTCTTTACTATATTGGTGCCTGGCGCTGTGTGTGGGTTAGCGATCAAGTTCCCGTTGATGCTATGGAGTCTCCGCTGCTACCTTTTGCGCCTTGCTTCAATCAAAATTCTTTGAAGCCCGTGGGAAAACAAGTTGCAGCTATTATTACTACGCCATCCGTAATGTTATGGCCCATTTTAATATGTAAGGTGAGCTTGTGATCTTCTTGGTTTTATACCGCATTCACTGTAAACACATTAATTCTGAATATAAATCGTTTTAAGCGTTCTAGAAGTGAAGTTTTTCTTTTTGTGTATGAAACAACTGGCTAGTTGTGCAGCTATTGCCACTATTTACAACGGGCAGTGATATTTAACCATTAGATTATTTGCACAGTAACTTGAAGGCCGTCAAAGGCAAACGTGAAGTGAAAGTATTATACTTTCGAGTTACTTCTAGTGAGTAATGTAACCGGGGCCCAGTTTTATATAGGTTGACAACATTGATTATGGATATTAAGATAGCTGAAATCACGTTTAACCGGCGTATGTACCGACAAGTTTCGGACCCACCGATAGTCTTTCATTAGGGTGAATGAGATTCCCCCCTGATAGCGAGACCCTGAGCGGCAGACATGAGGGTGTCTGTCGCTCAATATGGGGCTCGAGACGTGTGCTGTCTCAATTGCACCGGCACAGCACGATGCAGTAGAGGAGGTACAGGGCCATAGTCGCGCCGGGGTCGCGGAAGATTGCGTCCACGTGTTCTCGTGTCCCCGGCCGATGCGATAGAGACAGGTGCAACGTGGGTTTTTTAGTGGGTACCGTTTCTCATCGGGACTCCAACATACCCCTGCCACTCCCCTGATCCAGTGGTATTCATAAAGGATTTTTCCCACGAAAAAAAAAAAAAAAGGGTGAATGGGATTAGTTTACGGACGCGCCCCGTCTCCGCCTGAGCCTGGGCTCGCAGCTCGCGGGTTAATAGGTTAGGGGCGCGGTATGCACCAGTGATGATGACAAATCCGGCGATATTGATATAGTGTCAATGTTGGTGTTTAGGGGGGCACAAAATATGCTCACTATATACGCTACACAATTGTCAGCACTATCATTTTTATTTCGTGTCGCATTCAACAACATGTGCATCCATGTAAGCGACAGAGCCCATCTCTTATCTCATATTTTGTAAATAATGTATAACGGAAGTTTTAATAATTTTATTGATGCAAATTCTCTGCAGATTCCCTAGGGCTAATTTCTTAATATCAGGTGACCTGCCTGATTGCTGGTTTATTTAACGAATCAAAAAATCTAAAAAAAAACAACAAAATGTCATCTAAAATTTTCAATTGGTTCAAATATCGCGATCAAAATTAAAATTTAGATTACGAATTTTATTGATAATAGGAAAGTGTTGAAAGATATAAACATTGTGTTAAAATTACAGGCACTGTTAAAGTTGGCCGCTCCAGCTATGGATTCTGATGACGAATCAGATAACGAGGACCAGACGTTTAATGATTTCGACATACTGCAAGCTCTTACAGGAGCCATGAACTTGACTCATATCATCAATGGTAATTTTAAAAAAATATTTTTTCACAGAAACACATTAATACACATATTAAAATATTCTTCATATTCTGTTAACGAGAGATGGGCAATTCGAAAAAGAACAAGCCACGATACGAATTTGTCGAATTGTCTATCTTTCCTTATTAGCGGGCGTTGAGCTAGCTCAGACGGTCTAAATATGGTATTTTTAAACGGAACTATTTTGTCTTTCCGATGTTTAGATATTGATCAATTATGGAAACGGATATCCGCGGAAGTTCCACAATTTGTATGGGACGATGACGATGACACGATTACTAGCACTGTAAAAACTAAAAGTAAGAAACCCAGCAATAAAGAAATATTAACTTTCAAGGTACTCGTTTCTTTTAGCTTCTGATTTTAGCTTTGACGTACTTTCAATATCAATCATACGAATAAACATGTGGAAAAAAAGTACAAATGGTGTACTTAATAGACACATAATCAAAATGTAAATTTGGGCTTACCCTTAATACATTATTGCAGCACAAATCGCTGACTTCCATTATGATTGAAGATACAAGAAACATGCCACCCTACACACTTCCTGGAATAACGCCAGCATTCGAGATGGAACTCCTCGTCGTTATGGCTAGAGATTTGCCGTTAAAAAAGCCCTTACCAGAACCAGGTAGTTACGTCGCACCTTACGCATCTGATTCAAATATTGCAATTCAAATGAGATGCGAATGTTTTATTAGAATCATTAGAATCACTGAGATGCTTCCACTAAAAAGTAATTCTGCTTTAGTAAAGTAAAATAGTTTCTTTTCATCTGACAGTGATTTAAAAAGCTTTCTTATTTTTTGTTTTTCCAAATAAGAAATACAATTAAGTCTGTTGAATATAGTACAGTTTACATAGTTTCATACAGGCTTGCGTTTATTATGAAAATGTTTTTATCTCGGATTGTTTGTGGTAACGTCTTATTAAAGTACTTTGGTTTAAGAACTAAACATCTTTAGACTCTAAATGTGTCCACACTTGAAGTTTCAATAACTGAATGAGCCTTGTGTTTTTAGAAGTCGCTTTATGGAAACACCACAGATGGATTGACTGGGCCCGGAAACACGGATTGTACGAAGCGTACGATTGTCCAAGGACGAGATTTTTGAAAATGAACGGCTTACTCAAACTGTCCCTTGCTCCACACCTGTTAGATGTTCAAAGTACTGACTCGGTAAGAGAGAATATTGTTTACTAGATGAAAATTCAGAAACATATATGTGAACATAAAATTATGATAAAATATTTATGTAAAGTTACACATTTTATTAGGTCCTAAACTATAAAAATTGCCAATTTTGATACTGCCCAAAGTGAAGATCGATATCTTAGATTCTTGGCCGTTTCAATAACGTATCTAAGATTAGCAATATAATTTTAATAGATGTTAGGAATATTTTTTTACATACGGGGTAATAAATTTAGGAAATTATTACACAAACAGGTTATCAATTCATAAATGTTTTATTTCGCTTCTTTTATCATGCTATTCAAAGTCAACTATAAAACCAAATATTTTGACAGTTTAAAATTTTGATGTTTTATTATTATGTGAAAAGTTGCCAAGCGAACAGGCGGTTCACCTGATGTTAAATGAATACCGCCACCCATGGACATCTGCTACACCTGAGGGTTGCAGCTGCGTTGACAACCTTTTGAAAATTGGGCTTCGGCTACCTCACTCACCAGACGAAACGCGAAAGTATTATACTTCAACTTCACGCCGGTCTTTTGTGAGGTCGTGGTACTTACAAGCCTGCCTATTCGTGCAACAGCCGAGGCTGCTGTATGACCCTACCACCCATGATGTTTAATTTTTGTCATTTCTAATGTCTAATTTTGATTTTTATGCTGTTAAATGTAATATTAATAATTAGTTAATGCGTCGATTGGTTCTTGAAAAGAAAGTAAGGGCAAAATGATAGATTTATGTATCTTTAGTTACTGGCAGGAGGGATATTAGGAGGGGAGGGAGGATAGGTTATTGAAAACTGCTGTAAGTCTTATTCATTTTTAATAAAACTACTAGTATGTCATGTAATTAGGTGTTCATTTTTTTTCCATCCTACTTATTATTTTTTTTACTAGGTAATACTACTATTACTTTGTACTTATTATAACAACTATATTTTTTTATCATTTTGCTCTTACTGTAGAATAACATTATCCTGTGTTGTCACGTAGACAAAAACTCAGTTCCGAAACAATAATCTGTAGGTCATAGAAATAATTGTCCCGTGTGAGAATCGAACCCACGACCCCCGACGCCTTTCGATGCATGGGCAGTGCAGTTGCCCACTAAGTCATGAACTATAATTTGATATTATGGCTGTTTCTCTGCCTACGGTATAAATTAAAAAAAATACATAAGCAAATACGGGACGCAAATATTCGAAGATATGTGAAGTCCGCCAATCCGCAGTGGGGTCAGTATTGGACTGTGCACTAATACCCTCGGTAAAGACGTGTTCCTTTGCCCAGCAGTGGGACATATTTAGACTATTGCTTTACTTTTACTTTTACAAGAAATTAATGTTTCAACAATTGTTTTTAAATTTTATTTTTATTATTTTAGATAACTTACTGTTTCCGAGAAGAACACGGTTCAGCTAACCCAGTGGTAATAATTTACAAATAAATAAAGCTTCGATATCCAGATTTTAATAAACATGCTTGCGTTGTTTTAATAAATCAATTCTTCAAAACTTTGAAGAATAGCAAACTGTCAAATGTGCATCCTCTCACGGCCTGTTTCAATATTCTATCTACAGATAGATTTGGTTACTGGAGATAGGACTTTGACATAAATATCAAATATCACTAGTAACCAAATCTATCTGCAGATAAAACATTGAAACCAGCCGTTAGTGACCGTATTATAGTGAGTCAGAATAAATTCCTGTCACCTCTTCACAGAAGGAATTTTTTATAAGAAAATACGAATTGGTATTTTTGAAATCTGGTACTTGTAAACAATTATTAGAACTATGCTTGAAACTATATATAAAAATAAATAAAGTAAAGACAATAAGTTAAGTACTCTCATTAGTATTATTTCCATTCTCTTTGTAGATATTGAATAAACGAATACATATTATATTTAGGAAAAATCTTACAAATAATGGAAATTTATACTGTTTCTTTGTTGTTATAGGTAAAGAAATCGGCTAAAATTGAAAATCGATCTGCTATAACGAATCAGACGGTAAACCCGTCTATTAAAGAAGAGCTACGCGACTGGGTTGAGTTTGACGTGGTGAGGTGGTCATATGCATCAAATTTACTTTAGAGAATATATACATTAAAAAGACACGATGCCGTCGTGTGTGCCTCAGCGATATAATCTGAAGTATCATTCAGTTAGTGAGCGTTGCAATTTTTATACTTTCAGATCAAAAAATTTATGAAGAGCACCAGTTTTCTTCACTATCCATCGATGTATCAGTTTTGTTCAATCGCAAGCAATCCATCATTAAGAGTTACCAAGTTACCTCCGAACAAGGAGCTGGATATACCAGCATCTAGTACCGTACCACTGTACCTTCAAATAGACGGCCCAGAAGAGAACTGCTTACGGATATCGTGCAGCATGCTTCATCCAAGAGTATTCCTACATGCGGGCGTACCTATTGAACACTATATAGAGCCTGGTTATGTACTCATAGAGAAGTTTGATTGGTTCTATGACTCCGAATTGCCAATACCTAAATCATATCTGCAAACTCGAGGATACGGCGCTACAGAAGTCTCCTTTGCACCTGGGCGACATTATTGCAGGTACATGGTCTTATTTAAAGTTTTGGACTTCCATTATGTATCATGAAAGTAAATCCTGTATCCTGACGACCAAGCTATATTGAACGCCTTAATTACGGCCGGTTTCAAAATTCGATTTACAGATAGATTTCGTTACTGGAAATAGAAATTTGTAAGTAGTATGATGCCAATATCAAATACATGTCACTAGGAACCAAATCTATCTGTAGGTTGAATATTGAAACCGGCCGTAGACGATATAGCAGTGAAATAGTTCTGTCTGCGATGGATTATTATCAATGGCACTTTTGATCAAACGATTTCGTGATCGAAAGGTATCACCACTGCTCAAAGATTTTTTGCAAGACCAGGGGAATTACAAAAGTGATGCCAGTCTTTTTTATGAGTATAGAGACCCATATATATTCTTAAAGGAAAAAAAATCTTAAAAAATATTTTATGAAATGTCATGCTCATTCCTCGCAATGAACATAAAGTTTCTTCATAAGCGTACGGTATTTACCTGAGAGCATTCTTAATTAATTTTGTCGATGTTATATTGGTTGTAAATAGACTAATCGAAGTGGTAGTAGGTTTTAAAATCGACCACTTTGAGTCGTCGATATGTTTAAGATTTTACTTTCTTTTTTCACAGATTGTGGGTCCATTCCAGGGTGCCTTGGCATGTGATGCTACTAAGCGAGTCCACGATACATGTTGGCACCCGCGATGTCATCCAGGTCGCTGCGATGCGGGAGTGTCCGTGGGCATCTACATTTCTGAACGCACTTGGTGCTGCCTTTCAGAACTTCATGCGGGCGAATAAATCCAATACTGTCGTCGCGTACCCTGATCGAGAGTTTTACAAGTAACGTATTTCACATAATTGATAACTATGGTAGTCATATTACGAGTACAATGTATTTTAACATTGAATGTTTGTTTCTTCGCTTACTATAATAATCATAGTTCGAACCAATTATTAATTTCTGCTTGTGTTAATATTCTAAAATACAAACATACGGAAACTAAGAGATATAAAAAACACAACACAACATAAAACAAACGTGGTAGAGCCATGCAACAGTTTTCTCTGTTGCACGTCCCTGTTACAGTTAAAAACACATTACGGCAGGTCTTACCTACCAGATCTAGAGTGGAATCCAAGCATCGTCGGCTACAATAAAATTCATCTGCATTGGATGTTTCGACAAGCGCTACAATCGACACTCAAAAAGAGACTGACGTCGTTGGATTATAAGTTGACGTGTAAAACTCTCCAACAATACTTCTATGATCCTGAGTTTGGGTTATTTAAGAAGACATCATCTTTTGTATTGGCCAAAGATTTGATCGTAAACGACCCATGCTTTTGCCCCACGCCCGATACGGAGGAATTGGAAATATTCAGAATGCATTACAATGTAACGGTTAGTTGTATCAAACTCACTGCACATCACTTCCTATGAATGTTGATCGCACTAATGTTTTTACAATCAAATCCAATCATTTACTCATCGAAATAAGAAATATACATTTCATTTATTGATAAATTTTAAAGTTTTTTATAGTGCTAATCTCTGCACAGATTGAACATTAAAACATGTAGAAAAAGTACGAAAAGATTGTCGCCGCTGTGGGAATCGAACCGAAGACGTCGGCATTCGCGGCCTGACGCTCTAGCCACTGAGCTAAACGGCTGATAACCACAGCGACGAAAATCTTAACGCCTTCTTTCTACATTGTTATTTAGCATTTGAAGCAATGCTTGGCGCATCTATTGTTATATACTTTCCAGCATACAAACAATTTCGAATTTCGAATTATGGTTGTAAAACGATCAGTAAGGCCGCGAATGCCGAAGACGTGGGTTCTATTCCCACAGCGGCGACGATCTTTTCGTACTTTTCTACATGTTTTAATGTTCAATCTTAAGTGCAGAGATTAGCACTATAAAAAACATTAAAAATTTATTTAAAACTTGTTATTTTCACTAAATAAATCCGCCATTTTGTGTTTGACAACATGTATAAATTTACGAATTCACACAATTTTCCAAATTATAACCTTCGCATTATTAAAAAAGAGTCTTTAAAAATACTAAAAGTACTGTTACACTAAAGTTTTCTTATAATAATCTGATAATGTAGAAAGAAGGCGTTAAGATTTTCGTCACTGTGGTTATCAGCCGTTTATCTGTGTTTAACATTAGGTGTCGAAAATTTTATACATTGAGTTTTATTGTCATTTAACAGTAAATTATTAGCATTAAACCAATGAACTATTTCTGACATAGCATGATTTACCTCGTCAAGTGTTACAATACGTCGCCCGTATTTTATATCGCCATTGTTTTATATGTACTTAGTCATTTAAATCTATTCCATTACAATAAACTATGTTTTATCTGTTCAGGAAGGAGATGGCCGGTCTGACAGTGATTTGTATCATTCACCCAAAGTACTGCCAAGGGTGTGTGAGGCTGCCACCGAAACGTTTCCCTGCGGCGCCCTAAAAATTTCGAGAAATGTAATAATAAGTCGACACGAGGCGGCGACCCGTATACAAGCGTTCTGGAGAGGCGTAAGGGCGAGGAAATGTGTTGAAACACGCGCCCCTGTCACACCCGAGGTTATGAAGTGTGTAAGCAAATTTGTGGTGTGGTGTAATCATGTAAAATTCAACTCCTGAAACACTCTGTTTAAAATAAATGTTTAAATAGAAAAACATTGAAATCATGTTTCGATAGTTGTATGATCGATGCAAATTATTTGCTGGCATCTTTAGCCAAAATATTTCATAAGTTTTTTTTCTCACTCTTTTAGCTGATGGACAATGCATTCGGGAACCTTGAGGTGTTGTCCGCACTGATGAATGAATTTTTCAATATGTTTCCGGGAGCCAAGAGCGCTTTTTCTGTTGCGTCAGCGTTAACTGGATCATACGGCATGAAGCAACACAACGGACTCATTCACATAGCGTCCCCGAGCCTATGGATACCACTATTTCAAGGAGTGTTTTATTGCCACGCACCTGTGAAGGTTCACCTTGACTTGCAAGCTATCATGAGTGGGAATAAAATTAATTCCACGGTCGAGGTATACGATAACGATAGCAAAGAACGGCAGCCTTTTGCGTATACAACACATTTGACAATAAATTTGAGTCCGAACTCTGAAGGGTAAGTGACTTTCGTTGAATGATTTACAATAACATTATCATTAACTAATTGCAACTGAGTCGTACTTCTTCAGTAATATTGAGAAAGTGGAATCGTAGACTAACTACGCGATACGAATAGAGGAGCATGATGCTACTCAAGTACCTACTCAATTATTAACATGCTTTTTTCATGTTTTGAGTATTTTCACATAAAATTTACATAAATTATTATTAAAAAGGGTGATTCGTGAATTTTAGTGATCATGTATGAGCCTCCAGGTCGGCATTTTCATAGGAATACTAGCTTACGCCCAGCGTGCCTTCCAACGCTTTTTGTGAACTAGGAGTCTTCGCGGGCGTATGCGAAACAACTCACCAAAATTCCACAACAATTGGGTGAATAGTTTAGGAGTGCATAGAGTACAAACATCACTATTTTTATAATGTTTCTTCACAGTTACACTGTTATTGGCCATGCCATGCTGCGACAAGCGACGAACGCCACATCCGAGGTTCACTGGCAATTTAACGTGATGACAAGTATTGCCAACACGTTCCACGTTTGCGATAACGAATTGGGTGGATGTAAAGAGCTGCCGCTCCCATCAGCGACCAAATTGTATATAGACGAAATTTTCACACCCAACGAAAGGAACACACTCGGCGGAATACAAATTACCGTATCAAGACGCGAATCCATTTGCTTCCGGGCGTCAGCGTCGTATGAAGAAGTAATTGGATATTTATTTGATAAGGGAAAACATAAATTTTATCTCCGTATGATCATTGAGCTTAGTAATTTTAGAAATTAAGTTGTCTTTATTCATTTTATTGCTATTTTTCGCTTTGTTCGTTAAAATAAATTCAAAGAGAGCTAATTAAGCTCCAGTAGTGCAAGACAGCCCCCTACAAGATGTAGTGGCGACCTGTGTAAATGTGAGGCTAGTCGATATATGCAGGTGGCTTAGGATCGTGCTTGTTCGTTGCAGTCTGTGGGATAAAGCCTTTGTTCAGGATAGGTCTCTAATAGGCTTTTTTCACCTGATGTTAAGTGATAACCGCCTACCCATGGACATTTGCAACACCTGGGTTGCAGATGCGTTGCCACCTCTTAGTATAGTGGGCCCCGGCTACTTCACTCACCAGACGAACTGCAGAAGTATAGCACTTCCACGTTACGCCGGTCTTCTGTGAGGTCGTGGTACTAACCCGGACGGACCTGCCCATTCGTGCAACGGCGAACACTGTTACGCGGCCCTAGCACCGTTAAAGCTGAAATGATGATGATGATAAGGTTTAATTCTTGTCAACTTGAATACTTATTTCTATAAGTAGGTGTCCAATAAGCAACCGGATAACGTATTGATAGGTGATTGCCGGTGACACATAAGAATGTAACGACAGATAAGTTGCAGATGTGTAATTTAAATAGGTCTCACTTTCCAAATGAAATATGATTGTTATAAATTTGCACACATTTTACTACGAAACAGCTTGAAATGGTAGCTGTTCTACAAACCATCACAAACGGTGGCACAGTAAAAGAGATTGCAACGTGCAGTGGAAAAGGCGAGCTGTATTGGCCATACATCAGATTAGAACCGTTGTCTGCAAAGCTTAATCTCAAGTCCATGTCACAAGCTGATATGTCTACGGTACGATAATTTTGTGATAATTGTGTATCTTTTAATCGTGTGCGTTTATAATTTAAATTTTCAAATCTGTCTATTTATTTTATTATCTATCTGTAACAAGAGAGTTTTATGCTATAATTAAAATTAGTTTTACATAGTTTCACTGCTTCAAATTTATCTTTGACGTTCTTTTTGATTACTTGTCGTTTTAGATAAAGAGAGAAAAATATGTATATTTACAAAATATTTATTATATATAGATAAAATATTTAATATCAATTTATCTTCTGTATCTTAGCCACAAAGTGAACCTATTATACCTGGTGTTCGATCACAGCGGGCTATTAGACCCGGAAGACCGAATTCTTTTAGCGCTGGAATTAAAGTTAGATCTGCTGTAAAGGTATGGTATTCTCAAAACTTTTGTGAATTTTGAATTACCTAAGAAAACGAGATGTTTTAAGAACTCAATTTCTATAGAATCTGCGTATACATGAAGTATACTAGAACAAACCATAATTTTTACGTTCATAGTGTGAATTTGAAATACATAACAACAGAAGCCAAGGAATTTTATAATTGGGATTGACTGAATGAGTGTGAGCATAAAAAATGGACTAAATCTATAACTTTAATTTAATAATCTATGGTCGAATTTCGATGATTATGACGGCGACATGGACATATTTCAACTACAAAAAAACGCGTTAAGCCCTTGCAGACACGGGTGACTTTTTATGATATATATTGATATTTGTGTACGAGTATTTAAAGTTAGACATGCATGTATATAATTATTATGTGCATATGATATTGATTTTTCTTTTTCGACGAGCCGTGTCGCCTCTTTTTATTTTTATGTTCACTCACATTATTATTTATCGCTCACTAATGTACGTAAATTTTTATTATTTCTTTGAAGGTAAAGGAGCTACGGATGGCACCGGAAGTGACAACTTACACTATTGAGTAAGATATTGTGATCTTAATCTTTTCTACTTTAAGAACTATGTCTTATTATTACATTACATTACATTACATTATGTTATATTATATTATATTATATTATATAACATTATATTGTATTATTAATATCCGCAATTATTTTTTAAATAAATTTAACTTATTCTTGTACAGTATAATGGAGTGTTATTTAGACATTACATATTTTTTTTATGTATAAAACCGTTCTAGGGTCCGAGCTCCTAAGGGATGGCCACTTACAGTAGGTCAGTGGAAAAGAGTTATAGACATTCAAAGTAACCAAGATTCCAAAGATGGGTGCCTACCTAAGAAATCTTTAAAAGAAAAGGTTTAATTTATTTTAAAATTGAATTCTGTGTAGTATTTTCTGATGTATAAAGCTTAATGATAATTGTCCAGTGGTAATTTACGACATGAAACACCAAATGTTAAAAAGAAAATACAGCTCTTCATTGTAAAAAGTTTGTTGCGCATTCCATTTACCTCAAAATGATGATGGAAATGTATAATGTTATAGGTATATTTTTAGTGTACCCCGCTGTATTTGATTTAATTTAAAAAATTGCAAAACTATCTCAAAAGCAGAGGTAATAACCACAACCCAACATTTTAAAATAGATTTTGCTAGCCTCTTTTAAATAACTACTTATACACAATCTCTGAAGAATAAAGGACAAGTGGAATGGCGCAAATAACGTAATATATGTATGGAGTGCTTTGTCCATTGTAGAGTGGCTTCACAAAAGAAAAGGAGAAGGGGGAATATTTCAGTCAGATACAGCCTGGTGATGCATACGTTCAGTTAGAGTGCTCTTTGGGCGGAGACACGGAGGCAGCCGCAAAACGCGACGACACCAGGGACATGCGTTTTGCGGCCGCAGTTAAGTCTTGGGAAGCGAACGAGCCCGGTAGAAACGCGAAAGGGGCACTAATAAGGTAGTTTTCCTTGAATTTGTTAAACCACTCTTAACTTGAAGATTCAGACAGAAATAGCGTCATCCACCTTCCATCAGGTGTTTTTAGTTTAAAGCTCACCGGACGATGGTTATCTTTTTTATAACAAACATTAGGACTTGAAGTGCGTTTTTTAGGTTAGTTCAGTTATAATAGATAAATATAGTTAGGGCTCAATAGACGTCTCTCAGTCTGTTTAATATCTAGTCAAGTAGTAAAGTTGTGGTTCCTTGTGGTACATGTTAGATTCTAAGATTAAATCAAAAGATTAATCGTACATATTCGCAAAATTACACATCAAAACCTTGGAAGTTTTTCGATATAGAACTATAAACTTTGACGGTAAAATTTGTCCTAGTGAATAATATTATTAGAAAATTATTGATTTGTTTTTATCTTAAAAGACTATTAATGTCCAGCAACTCAAATTACTTTACTTGGCGTAAGTCAGATACGTAAGCTGGCGATGTTTTTAATTCATTCTTCTTAAAAAAAAAGTAAAGAATATGACAACATATTTAACATTTTCTTAAAGAAACTTCACTGCTCAACGCTATCCCAACAAAGTTAGTATGGCAAAGATGGTATGGCATTAGATGATCAGGACCTTGATCAGTAAAAATGTTAACATTACGTTAAAATTACACTTTCTGGATTGGTGGACTTCACATATTTCTTTTGTCAGTTACAATCGGTTGTAGTGCGGTATGAATATTTAGTTCTGTGATCGCAGTTGCCAGCTGACTTAGGCTAGATTCACACGGCATTGCCCTGCAGTGTTCGATAACTTGTAAATTTTAAGGTCACAATGAATAATGATCTTTGCAGGAAAGAATTTCGGAAAGAATTTTTGGAAAATTTAACGCCATCCCGTGTGCAATTTGTTGAGGATAAATTGGTTGAGGTCATAAGTCAATACTATTTTTATTGCAATAAAATTTAGTATATAGTAATCTTCTAATATATAAAATTCTCGTGTCACAGTTTTCGTTGCCATACTCCTCCGAAACGGCTTGACCGATTTTGATGAAATTTTTTGTGCTTATCCGGTATCTATGAGAATCGGCCAACATCTATTTTTCATCCCCCTAAATGTTAGGGGTAGTCCACCCCTAACATTTTTTTTGTTTTTAGACAACATTTTTAATTTCTATTTTTTTATGATACAACATACAAAAATACATGCAACCCTAAATTTTCATCCCTCTACGCAGACGTAGTCGCGAGCAGCAACTAGTAGTTATATAAAAGTATAATAGTAATTAATGCCAATATATGATACTTAAAACGATACGAAATAAATCGTTTAAAATTGAGTAAATATTTTAGGTTTCAGTAAATCCCGAGACGGATGAAAGTCGTAGTAAGTATTTCTTTAATAATTTTTTTAATGAATATTAGTCTGTCTTTTAAGAGGTTTCATGTTTTCAGATGGTTATCCTCGCAATCGGCAAGGTCCAACTCCGGTCACTGAAAGTGAAGGTAAATATTTAAAAGTCGTGGTACCATCATACAACCCTCTTGAATAAAACAGCGTTTTAGATGAAACTGTCAGTCTGCTTGATTTCTTACGAAACTTGAACAATTAACGTCTTGTTTCAACAAATTAACAAATTGTTATATTAAAATATTCGTATAAATCTTTATATTTAATCATTCTATATTTGGTGAAAATCACATTAGTTTAAAAGATCTTAGTACAGAGGAACAGACGGCGAGTAGCGACTTTATTTTATACTATGTAGAGATTGTATATAGGTAAAAATCGTAGCCGAAACCGCTTATAACATACTGGAGGGCAAAGTGATGATGATGACGATTAAATGTATATTTTACCGTGTTTTTATGTGCCTTGCGGTATTAAATGTATTATATTTATTTATATTCAAACAATAACATCCCAGGCAGAAAAAAGCTTAATTTAAGTACCTTAATTATTAATAACCATAATGTGCTAAGCGTGCTAAAAGTGCAAGACACAAATACGATTATCTCTTTCTTTCCTCAACATGACAAATGTGAGTTTTTTTCAGTTTCAGACACACAATTGGAAAATATAAATAACGGAACAGTGACGCTGGGAGTGGACTTTAGAAATGACGGAAAATATATTTCGAAACCAGAAGAGTTGAAAGATAAATTTAAGCCGCTCAGCTTTATGCCGTCCTGTATGAGGGACAAAAATGAAGATGAATGGTAAATTTCTAGCCAGCCAAGTACAGTGTCAACTTTGAAATTTTGTCCATTACTAATATACACAGCACTATTTTGACTGATTTGAATAGGTGCACCCAATAAATAGTACATGGGATTTCTCGTTCAATATATTAACGTAACATTTTGTGAAATTCGTATCCAGATTTTTAAATTTATTGCATTAAATAGCAGATTCTCTATTCAAATCCATGTACTGACAGTTCGTTGAAATTTTAAGTATAATTTTAAAATTAAAAAAAATAAATATCTAACACTTGAGTTCTGGAAACCTTCATACCCGAACCAGTGTTAGAAATACTACTGAATAATAATAATGACTATGAAAGACAACTAAAAATAATTCAAAAACATATATAATCTACTTATCTCTGCAATGAAGTCTTTAAAACCTGCGTAAGAATTGCCTCACTTAAAGATTTTGCCATTATATCCTATTGTTAGGAAATAGAAACAATGATTGATTTTTTAAAAAGAACTTATCGGCCAGTAGGCCAAACTTAACAGAAGTTTCTACTACTCAAACTACAATTCTAAGTAACCGACACAATCGTTATTAATTCGGGTAGAGCTTCCGCACTCTACAACGGCTGACGAGAAAGTCTACTGACACTGCGAGCGCTGCTCCGTTTATAGGCCGTAGTAGTGTGCTACTGCCCTCCTATCTTCTAACACTATAATATTTCAGTACAATATTAACCTCTGAGATGGCCGAAGCGGCAAAGAAGAATCGCGAAGTGGACATTGTAACAGCTTATGAGCGTATGAATCAGCTTCAAGCTTACTATGAAATTCAAGTTCTGGGAGCGCAAAAGACGCGCTGTGATCTACTTGAAACACTTTTCGTTGGCAAGTATACCTTTGACATCCTTCTGCAAATTTGATAACCCTCCCCATTCTCTAGATTTGATCCAGGTTCCATTCCTATATTTGGCCGTCTTTTAATTCTTACTTTAAGTCATACTGCCAAACATTTCTTCTGTTTGAATACACGATCATAACAGAGGTAGCCGCATATGGAAGCGATAGAAGGGTTTATAATTTTGTTTTACACCTGTTGAGTGAATATGAGCAAGGCCTTGCAACGTCTCGTTGTTTCAATGGGCAGCAGTAGTTACTTAACTTCATTTGAACCGTCTGCTTGATTGCCAACTTTTCACACTAAAAGTAAGGTAACTGATGACCCACATGAATTGTAAGCAACTATATTTTTACTCCATTTTTATTGTAGATCTTCTTTTTAAATGACCAGTTGTAGTTGCTAATTTGCGACCTGCTCTCATATTAAAAAGATACGTAAGAGATAGCAATAAGAGAAAATCGAAAACCATGTGAAATTCTTAAGAAGTACTGTCATGATTAAGAATATATTTTTGATTGGGAATAGTTCCTCAAAAGTACATTTAAGTACATGATTGACACGTCATGTCGATTCACAAACGTTTCACTCTTTAATTTATTTGAGAAGTGAAATATTTAAGACTGAAACTCACAAATTGACTGAGTTCTAGGTAAGAGTTAATTGAGGTCTGAGCGCAGGCCATTATAAGAACAAGTATAAAACTTAACAAAGTATTCAACGACATCTAGCTCCAGAAAATATTCACTGGATTAAATAAGCAACAAAGTTTAAACTTCAATGCAAAAGCATAGTTATGCTAACAAGACCATATTTGTTTAGGCTCTTTTCACAGTTTAATTATTTTTTAGATTCACAATGGAGCCCTGGCTTATCAGAAGCATTAGAAGCCAGGGACAATACTGTGTTCACTGAAGTTTTAAACAAGAGTATGTCTGTAATGCGTAAGAAACAAGACGCTAAAACTAAGTAGATAAAAGCCTAATATAGAAATATATTTAAGTTCAAAAATAACGAAAAGAAAGGAATAAGGCGAAGTTTAGAAGAATGTATTTTGTTCCGATAAGAAATATTGTTAGGTTCTCTTAAGTCATTAAAAGTTAACACATTATTCTCATCGTTTGTTTCTTTTTAAAATTTTCATCTATTTTAAATCATATCCAAAACAAAATTGATTGTGATAAAAACGTTTCTTTTGCAATTACCAGACGGAATATCCAGATAGCTTCGTGCATAATTAGCACTGACTTAAAATATCATGCACCTGCTAAGAATCATAGAGAATAGATATAAAGCCAGAAAAAAGTGTAGCCTCACGCGTAGCACCCCCAACCCCCATGCGCCACACCGTTACAAAGGTCCTCGCCAGTACAGAAAGTTGGGGCAAATATCACTTTATGGCCAAACGCTCCCCTGGGAGAAAACAGTTAAATATTTAGGAGTCACTTTCGACTCGCGTATGACTTTCACTACGTACATTAATCAAGTCCGTAATAAAGCCGCGTTCGTCTCCGGCCGGCTACACAATTTAACGAATAATAAAAATAAAATGCCCTTAAGGCACAAATTACTGCTATATAAAGCTTACGTAAGGCCAATCATGTCCTACGCATGCATGATCTTCGCACATATAAACCCTACGCGCAATAACAAGTTGCAAGTAAGTTTATCCGCTGCGCAACCGGTGCGCAATGGTATCAGCGCAACGTCGCAACGCGCACAGCGATTGCAGACTCCCGACGATTCGCGCATATTTTAAAGATTTGACAAAACGGTTCTTCGATAGAGCCCAGCATCATCCCAACCCTCTGGTGGTAAGCGCAGCAAATTACCAACCGGACACTAACGCGAACGTAAGCAAGCGTCGCCCGCGAAAAGTCCTCATCGACCCGGTCGACGAAGAGGACTTAGATACGATGGACCCACCGCCGGGGGTCCCGCCGGATAACACTACACCCACAGTTAGTGTAACAACAATCACACCAGTTCGCCCTCGCCTCCGAGCACAGCGAGACCCACATAACGCGTACGCAAGGTACACCCGCATTCCGGGGTGGTTCTCACCACTCCCAGCCACCGATTAGCTAAATGCACAATCGACGGCCATCGGGGTCTCGGTCCGAACCACGACCTCGATGCCCCTTAGATGACACACCATAGTTAAACGCACGCATGAGCACATGCGCGACCCTACCCATAGCGGTGGGTCCAAGCCCGTGGGTTCTGGCTAGCCTACCGGTTCTGCGTCCGATGAAGCTTTAATAGTCTCGGGACTGAAAGCAAAAACATCAGTTAATACAAGATACAAGATACAAGATAAGAATCATAATATGATGTTTTCATTATATTTATTTTATTTTATTAAATATCGTTTAATAAAATCTTAACGTTGTTATTAAACATGTAAGGTTGTTATTAAACATCGTTATTCCAGGTCACTTGTACCGCCAACACCTAGCCTGGGATAACCTCCACCGATGCTAGCTCACATGACAACTTTTCACACAAGAAATATACGCTAATATCGCCCTGATTTTGATGAACTCTCATATACGCCTGACATAGTTGAATAACGTAACTGAACTTACGTAATTTTCAACACAAGGGCGTCAAGTTCATTTTGAGCAATTGTTCTAGTTAAATTCCTATTCGACTTGTGTTCGAGTGGACCTTTTATTTTAGGTAGCCACGGCAAAAGAGCAGGAAATGAGTCCATAAAAAGGTTCCCAGACTGCAAATTCTCATGGAGAATCCATGTAAGTATGTATAACGGTCCAAGTTTGTATAACTATACAGATAGATACGAGTATCTCGCTAATTCAAATGCATTTACTGCACGATGCGCAGTGAATCAATCATTATATATCGAATTTTATTCGCTTACGTCCACCAGTACTTCTTCCATTAATATTGACAAAACATTTTGAAGAGATTCCAAAAATATATGGGCAGCTAAGTCATGACATTGACAATTAAACTAATGTACCGAATAATGCCGTTCAAAGGTTTTATCAATTTATGTTCTAATACTGTCAAACAATTGAATTCCGCGCGGTATGTCTGACTAACTAAAATTTTGATATAACCCGTGGCAACAAGGATCCCCAGAGGAAGCAATCAAGAAATTAAAACTCATACTTGCAACTTTTATTAACCAACGTAAATTTTCTGAAAGTAATCTAATCGAACATAAACGTGAAATAAATTCAACGTTAAGTAAATTATTAATCATTGTGAGTGTTAATCTCCCGCACAAATACCATCTGGCAGAATTAGTTTCACTTCGGAGAACGTAAAAAGTTTAGAGGTGCTGTAAATTACCAACGTTAAGTTAACAAAGCGCTGCGTCGCTTCTCTAACAATAAGTTAAATGATTTCGATCAGGGGCTACTTCCAAACGGGTCATCTTCAATTTCATCATTTAACGAGGTCCATTAGAAAAACGTTTGAATACAAACCTTGACTACGAACGCATCACTCACAAGAGATACCCATTTCATGGAACCTCATAACCTCCTATAGTAAAATCCGTTTAGGTTACAGTGTCCCCAAGATTAAATCTTACATATAGTTTTACGAAAGACGATGTCCATCTGGAGCAATCAGGTAATAAAGATATTGAGGAAAAAAAATTAAGTGACATCCCTTTTTCCAGCTTTTTTCTTTATATTATTGGAAAGTGATTCGAAAAAGTTTTATTTTTTAATCTTTTATCATGTTTTAATCCCAAAAATGACACAACAACGAATAACACAGTATACAACCGTCGACGTCACGTGCCTTTTATTACTCACTCACCCGAAGAAACCCGAAACCTTTTGGAAATTGGGCTCCGGTCACCTCACTCACCAGTTGAAATCCAAAAATATTATACTTCCACTTTACGCCAGTCTCCTGTGAGGTCGTGGTAGTTACCCGGACGAGCCTGCCCATTCGTGCAATAGCCGAGGCTGCTGCGTGGCCCTACCCGTTTCCTGTTTTTTCTTTCTGTGTACTTCCTTGTGTGCAATCAAGTGTTTCCTATTCTATTCTTCTATCCCCCTAACGAGTAAGCAAAGCCATCACAGAAACTTCTGCGTGGCTCTAACATAGAGGTTGCTTAGGTGCCATGAAATTCTGGGACATAGTCTTTCCATGAGCTCTGTGTCCAATGAAGCTCTAAATAGTTTACGGACTTACATTATACAACTTAAAAATTGTATAAAGAAATTGGATGACACTGTGTAGTGCTGGCTCGATTTGTTATAAAAAAATTAAAATGATTTTGACATTCTATATGAAATTATTAATAACCAGCAATGATGTTTTAATAACAGGTGACGCGTGTCCATATGCGGCGTTAAAAATTGTTCCGCTTTACATTATTTGACACATAGAAATGAATGTGACAGATGATATAGAAGGTGTAATATAGAAAGAGGTAGAGATTATATGCACTCACTTGCTATAAGAAAATATTTCTCTAATGGAGGACGGGTCGTCAATTCCTCGGCTCTCTTGGCTAAGTTTCAACATCGATCACACGAAGTTGATATATCAGCTGAAGTTTTTTCATTTAGCTTTAAAAGCGACAAAATTTCAAGACGACAAAAGCTTTTACAAGAGCATTATTTGAAAGGTGAACTGTTTTTTAATATCCTCTTATAAAACACAAATGCTAAGACAAGTTGTAAACAGTAATTTAACTTTAACCAGTTTTGTGAAAATTTTGTTTTTTTTAACTTACTACTAAAGGAACCATCTCCGGTGCAGAATCATGTTAAATAATAAATAGTACTATAATTATTATCTAAAAGAAGGAAGGAAGGAAGGAAGGAAAATATACAATACATGTTTTCACGTTAAAAACCTTTGATGTATATGGCGTATAAGGAAACTGAAGCCATGTTTGTGTTTGTTAGAATAAAGGAAAGGAACTAAGAACGATGTGAAAATACCATGTTATCTTCAGAGGAATAATAATTTTGCTTTTCTTACATTGTTTGTACTAAAAGCAAAGTTCACTGATTATGGCTTCTTTGAAAGGTTTTGATACACGCTTATAGTCATATTAAAATACATGTAACATAAAAATTCCGTATTGCAAGGTTATTAAACAGTTTTAATCTTTATTTATTATTTAAGTTTCTCATTATCTGTCATAAAATCTAGCATGTTTGGAATCTAGCTATATTTAGCAGATATTTCTGTATGTAAACTTGACCTTCGTGTAATAATATGCTTTAGTGATGCGTTTAGTCATTGTATCGCCAACATAGTTTTCGAATTATAAAAAAAAAATCTTGTTTTTGTGGAAGCTTTAAAATAAAATGATATAATATGTAGTTTTCAATTTAAAGAATTAAAAATGGTATAAAGACGAAAGATTTTCTGCAACTGAGTACAATGCGATTCTTTGTCTATTTAATTTTAACAGGCTCTGCAAAATTTTCTTGCCGTGTGTGTTGAAATTGAATGTTTTCTATTTGTCATACAGAAATAGTAAAGAATTTGTATTTCTTCTTTATAAGATGAAGATATATTATAAAGTATAACCTTATGTTTTTTCCTCACATATATTATCGAAACCAAAACCTGATCAGATATTTACTGTTCATTGCATGTAATAACTGTGGAAATAGCCATTAATATTTCATATTGATGAAGTCACTGGAAGTCAAACTTACAAGTTGTAAGTTTGAATTCCAGTCGATCGTAAGCCACCATTCCAGTGTCACCACTGTCTTAATATGCAGATTGGTATTTGTAGTAAAATTAACTTTAGTCTTTGGGTGGACAGATAAATGGGACGGGAAGAAATAAATGAATACTTTCAGTCCATCCTGACCAAATATATTTCTTCTTATAGTTCTTTATAAATAGTGTTCATTGAACTATTTGTTAAGTTTCATTGTTCTAATAGAAAAACTTTTCCAAATCAACTTGCTACATTTATCATCGCTCAAACGGGTTCATTAAAAGAACTTCTAT